TTTACACAATACATGGTGTCTAATTTAGCCTTTACTCAACAGTTCTAAAGATGTAATTAGAATATAAAGTACGCCGGCAACCTGTATTATACGTAACAAGCTAATTTCAGAGAATTTGTGTACCCCGCTCAAGGACAGATGATGCAAACAAAAAAATGGATGACTGGATTGGTATACATTTTTTGAATATTTTGATTGTAAATGATGCAAGTAATAAATTTCTGTAAGAATTTGTAAACTTTCTATGATGTTCAAAATTCTACCTTTCTGCAACCTTCCTTATTAATCTATACAATTTTTATCGCTTAAAATCACTTTATTGTGAAACTTTGAATAAAGAATTAAAATCTATGCCGTTAAACTTATTCATTTTACTCATGTAGTCATGACTAAAGTTGTTATTTTCAAATTTTTTGATAAAAATTTGTTTGTATCATCTGTCCTTAAGGGAAAAAGAAGAGAATGCGCAGTTCGGGGGGGGGGGGGAGGGAGGGGTCGGACTCCTCCCCCCCCCCCCCCTTGATTTGTAGAATTATTAAATTATACATGCATATTGAAGGGAATAAAAAATGCCAATATGGATATAAAGATTTGATTGCTTATTCTTTAATATGTGTATAGAAGATTCTTTTTCTATAAAATATTTATCATACTGTAATAATGATTTTAAGAGTTTGTACAAGCCAGACGTCATAACTTTTTCATTTCACATGCTGCACCTACTAATGTTATTGTGATTTAAATTCAAGACACATAGTGTAGGTTGATCCGTTCTAAGGTTATAGGGTAGAACCGGTTTTATAAATAAAATGGGCAGTAAACAGGAAATTGCTATAATCTGTTTCTTTTAAAAACATGTCCTATAAAAATGTGTTTCCAGAATTTTCTGAAAGATTTTTAACAATTTTAAACAGAAATGAGTGGGATTTTAAAAAAATCACAATCTACTTAATTTTCGCTTTTGTGATAATTTACGGCCAAAAATACATGTACATACTCAAACTAGACATTCGATTAAAAAAAAACAGTAACACATAACTTTGCGAAAGTTCTTCGACTTAATTACTGATTGTTAATTTTGATTCATATCAAAGAAAACAAATATTTAAGAATATGAGAATAAAAGAAATGCTCTCTAGTCTGTTTTTGAAACCTTTTTTTTTTTCAAAGCATAAAATGAAAAAAGAGTGTGTGCATTCAATCAGTTTTTAAATTCAATTAAGAAAAAAAATTGACTAAGTTAATTTTGATTTGACAATTCGGCAGGCATCACAATGTATCGCATTGTATTGCAGCAGAGTGCAATGACAATAACAATGAATTTATTCTCATAAACTGACATTAAGTACAGTGTAGAGACAGATTACAAATATAGTTAAACATATGTGCATGCGTGAAACAGAAAAAGTACAGTCAAAAAATAACAATGACCTAACCAGGAGAGCCAACTCTCTCACAGATAATTTTTATAAATTTACACAGTTTTATCAATTTAACTGTATTTTTTGTATTAAAAAGTTGATCAAACTTATACACATTTGGATATAAATAGTAATACTTTGATATTAGTGATAATCTTGATTTCAGAATAAATGGATCATTACAATTGAATAAGTAATGATATTCATCACCATTTTCATTTTTTGAACATAACTTACAAATTCTATTCTCTCTTGGTACATTTTGCCATCTCCCAACTTCAATCGGCAATTTATTATTACAAGTTCTAAACCTACATAATAATTTCCAGTACTTACAAGGCAAAGATACTAAATACTTTTCTAAACAAAATGAAGTTTTATATATTCTGTAATTAAGACCTTTAGGTGAATTAAACATTTCACTGTACCATGACTGTTTAAACTGATCATACAGAGTGTTAAAAACTACTTTCTTCAGCCAAGATACATGCACTGGTTGGCAAGTTTGCCAGATATAAGAAAGCCCACATTCATTCAGTATAGATTTGATAAAGTTACACCATGGATTATTGTAGTTCTTCAAAACAATTAACAGATTTGATGATAATTTATCACCTTGTAAAAGAGATAATTTACGCCAAAAACTTATCATTCTTACCTTAATATTAATTGAAATAGGGTATCTACCTAATTCACCGTATACCGTGAAATTTGGTGTAAATGATTTTACATGTAAAATATGTTTACAAAATTTTAAATGCAACTTTTCAACTAATGGTGACTGATTATAACCCCATACTTCACATCCATATAAAAATACAGGCTTTACAATTTTGTCAAACATATCTAATGTACATTCTACAGTAAGGTTGTGTTTTCTACATTTTCCTATAACAGCATGCATACATAGCTTTTGTTGCTTTTTGAAATAATTCCTTAATATTTGTATTAAATGAACCATTTTTACAAAAATTTACACCTAAATATTTAAAATTATCAATAATTTCTAATATATTACCATTTAATGTAAATGGTTTTTCAATTCTTGGATTGCCTTTTCCAAAGATAACAACCTTAGTTTTATTAGTGTTAACTTTCAGATGCTATTGTTTACAATAATTGTTAAAAATATTCAGTTGGTGTTGAAGATCTTCTGGTGTTTCTGAGAGAAGAATTGTGTCATCAGCATATAACAAAACAAACAATCTAAGATACAAATCAAACTCTTTTTCTAATTTAGCAGATATAAATGATAAACCTTTTACATTATTTGAGTACATGAAGTCTTCAAGATCATTTAGATATATTGCAAACAGAAATGGGGATAGATTTTCCCCTTGTCTGACACCTACAGTGCAAGGAAAAGGTTCAGAATATAGACCGTTTGAGACAACTCTAGATTTAATGCTTCTATACATCTGTGTAATAACATTGAAGCATTTACCATCTATATTATTTAATATTATTTTGTTCCAAAGTCCTACACGCCAAACAGAATCAAAAGCTTTCTCAAAATCAATAAAAGCACAATACAACCCTTTCCTATGATATTTTGCTATTTCAATCAATGCATACAAAGTAAAGATGTGGTCCAGAGTAGAATAGTTTTATTCTAAAACCAGCTTGATTTTTTAAAATAAGGTGGACAGTATTTGCATAATGACTGAGTCTCTCATTCAGAATGGATGTAAACAATTTACCCAAGCAGCTTATCAAAGTAATGGGTCTATAATTTTAGGATCTGTAGTGTCACCTTTGTTTTTATATAAAGGGATAATATTACCAAATGTCCAGTGAGAAGGTATGATTCCTGAGTCAAATATTTTGTAAAATAATATTACATAAAAGTTTGACATAGTATCTACAGTGGATTTTATATATTCATTAACAATGTTGTCATGGCCACTTGACTTATTATTTTTCAGAGCACATATGCATTTTGTAATTTCTTCATGTGTGATTGGTTGATTTATACTGTTATTAAGTTCTAAATTTGATAACAATTTTAATTCTTCTTCGGGCAAAACATGTTCACTTTCTCCCTCTACTCCCATGTTACAACAATCTTTATAAAAATTATATAGTTCAGACAATTCTACATTACAACATTTATTAGTTCCATCAGAATTTAATATTTTCCAATATTCTTTTGGATTGTATGATCTTAGATATTGTAATCTCCTTTTCATATCTTTCCTATGAAAATTTCGAGCAGATTTTATTTTTTGTTTGTACAACTTTTCCTTTTCATACAAGTCTTCCTTGAGAATGTTACCACCAAATCGTTTAAACAATTGTCTTGCTTTTTTAAAGTTCTGTCTAGCAAATTTGCAGTCTTTTGTGAACCATGGTTTTTTAAAGATCAACTTTTTCTTCACCTGAGGAAAAATATTTTGTTTATAGACACCAAAAACTTCCTTACCACTTCCAACTAAAACTTCACCAGCTTTTTCAACAATATTATCAATAAAATCTAAAGAAATTTCATTACAGTTTAAAAGTTCATCTTCTAAACTTTCAATTTTACTAGCTTTATTTTCAACACAGTTTTGGTAAATTACTTTCTCATCACTATTCCACCTCTTAGCTTTTTCTGATTGATTATTACAATCATATGGGATATTTTCTATAGTTGGATTCATTGGTTCAGGATACATTCTCATTTTTACCATTATTGGATTATGCACATCTGAGTACAATGTAGAAAATGGTAAAACACATATTTCTGAAACATGTTTGATAATAAAAGTTAATATTTGCAATGCAGTAGTCTACTATACTGCAGTTTTTGCAAGTGAATTCACTATTTACATCTGTGTTACATCTTCCATTTAGTATGAAAATATTACAATTTTTGCTCAAAGTAAACAATTTTTTACCAAATTGGTTTAATATTTTGTCTTTTGACTTTCTATTAACAGATAATCCGTATTTTTCAAGGTTTGAAACATCACATGAATCACTAAGAAAAATATTTTCATCAATTATGTCATTTGAAAATGAATGATCATTATTATGACAGTTGATATTTTCAAAAAAATCTTTCTCCAGAGCAACCCTACTATTAAAATCGCCGATTAGACAAATGCTACCAGAACTTTCAATAAAATTGCATGTTTCTCTTTCTATTTCATCAAAAATATCTATTGTAGAAAACCGAGAATTTATGGGTGGGATGTAAACAGTACCAATAATTACATTATTTTGGAAATTAAAAGCTTTCCCTAATAATCTTATCCACAATACATGTTCACATTCATTTTCTATTATAGTAACATATTTAGAATAAATATCTCTAACATATACAACAATCCCACCTGATTTTCTAGAGGACAACGATAATCTAGGTTTACAAAAGGCATTAAAATTTCTAATTTCTATATTATCAGCATTATCTGTTTTTGTTTCTGTTAGACAAATAATATCATTTTCATTTATAAATTCGATAAATTCAGGATTTTGTAATTTTGATGTGAGTCCGCAAACGTTTAGACTAATTATTTTCAACGTGTTGAGAGAGTTTTTCGTCTCATTGTTTACACATTGCAAGTCCTGTTTGTGCAGTTCTCCTTGGTTGTCCTAGTGCGTATTCGCATTCCTGATGTTTACGTGCGCTGTCTGCGGCGGAGGCGCCGCGCGGTTTTCAAATGCTGGAAATGATAATCGGTCTCCTAAATGGTTGGTCTGTAATGGCACCAATTGTCCCTCGACGAAAAGCTTGTCAACAACAAGTGTAGCCCTTTTCCTCTGTCTTTTGGCGGCTTTGTACTGGGGATATAGTTGTTTACGCCGTTCATTGATTTCTTTCGGGAATTGTTCGTTAATACCATATGGCTTGTCAGCTAAAGATCCAGGGGCTGCACGTCTAACTCTTTCCCGGTCTTTGTGCAGCACAAATTTTGCAACTATCGGCCGCGGTCTGGTTCCACCCTTACTCCCCATTCTATGCACCCGATGGAATTCAATGTTGTCAGTGATATTCAGCTCGTTCTTAATAAAGTCTTTTATCAAAGTCTCTGCGTCTTCATCATGAGTTTCTGGTATCCCGTCAAATATTAGGTTATCCCTCATTGACCTTGTCTGTAAATCTAGGTGACGTTCTTTAAGGTCACTCAAGTCTAACCGTACTGCTTTGAGTTCTTCACGCATCGCTTCATGTTCTTTCAATGTTGAGGTCGACCTTTTGACTATTTCTTTCACTGTTCGCTCGATTTCTTTCACAGCCTTTTGTTGCTCATCATATTGTACTGCTATATGGTTCATTCCCTTCTAAATGTCTTCAACTTTAATTTTCATATTTTTCAGTTCTTTGAGTTCTTGATTAACACTACTTACATTTCGTTCAAGGTCACTTAACTTTTTATCTATATGATCCAGGGTATTTAGTTTAGATGACACATATTCCAGTTTGTTGCATATAACTGTTAGAGTTTCGCGCATATCAATACTCTGAGGAACAGTGTTCGATTGGTTTTGTATTGGCGACAGATAACCTGCAAATTGTCCTTGTGGACTTTGTGGCATATAAGGTTGTACATGTAATTGATTACCTTGAAACTGTATGTTAGGGGACGAGTTTTGCGAAGTCCCGTTGATTCCACTGATCACTCCATTGTTGAATGACGGATCCATTTCCAGTGTGTTTACTGAACTTCTTATACGTGGTATGGCAATGGCTGACTGAGTTGAATTCACTCGGATCTTTTGTTCACTTTCACCACTTGTATTCAGCGTTTTGTTTTTCCTTTTTTTCGATTTTTTCTTTTCCTTATCTTGTCCCATTACATATCATAATGGAAGAAACACTGCGAATGTTTTTTAAGACGGAAATAACTGAGAAATTTCCCAAAATATACAGACCGAAAATTTGTGGCTCCTCTATTTCTCACGCATGCGCACCAAAATGCAGTATGGTGCAATTCTACTTGTATTTAAACAAGCACAATTATTTTACTTGTCAATGTATTAGAAATATTGCCCACCATCCACCCTCCAAAGACAGCTTATATATACAATTTGGCCTAGTGATTGAATGTTTGTTTGGAAATTTGCATAATGTAAGTTTTGTTTCAAAGTTCGATAACTCAAATTATGTCCTTTTGAATAACGTAGACAAAACACATCATTGATTTCTGCTCTATATTATGTAAATGTGTAAGCAATGCTAACTAGTAACAGGCTTGTATACTATATATAAGACGTTAGAGAGACATTCACAATTGACCATGTGTTAAAGTCAGAGTAAATAACGGTTACGGGTAATATGGCGTGTAAAGGACTTAGTGTGAGCTTATCTCACTAGTAAACAAGTACTACTAAGCAGTATTGAAAAGCGTCTTTGAGTGTTATGCAAATTCATCGGCGCATACACGTACGATGTTTGACTCGCAGTGCCAATGCAATTTAAGAACGTGGTTATCTGTAGAACTATTAAAATGTGAATTAATTGATATTAAAAATTTCATTTGTGATTATCGTGAAGTGTGAAAAAATGGCTTGTCTCTTTTCATTTATGTCTATCGAGATCTAGAAGACAATTGATTGCGCAAGCCAAACAATGGACCCTAATTACAGTAAATTAACGGGTAAGCATTAAAAACTGAAAATCGGTACATAATTTGGATGTTCATGATCATTTGATATATAGAAATATGTAGAAATTATGAAAGATGCCAAGGACGTTTGTAATTTGTTGCTCCGTTAACTAGAAAATGCATATTAAAAATGTACTCTGTGCCACGTTCAGAACACTAGCGCTTCAAGGTAAGGAAAACGAACAGCATCCCTTAGGCATTTAAACAGTTAAATGGACAACAAAGTGTTTTTTTCATATTACAATACCCGTGATCATCTGTTTCGGTCAGGGAACCCACCTGACAATTGTATTCACCGATAGTTTGAATTACCCGACTTTAAATAAATATTTAAATAAAATATTATCTTATAGTACAACAAAGGAATGCAGACGAAAATCGCCAGTTCCAGTATGACTTTGAGAAACCTAAAATTCCACGTTTTTTAAACGTGCTACAAATGAATTGTTTGTAATTGTGAGCAGGGAAATAATACAATAAAAATGGACAGCACGGAAAAAGCATGCAAGCATGTTTGTCCAAAAAGAAATTTTAATACATAAGTGCAGAAAATAATGCAACGAAGAATACTTATTGACGTTTGAATGACTTCAAGAGAGATTGAAATACATTTTTAAATATATTATTCAGTGGTGAAAAATGAAACGCAAGATAACTTTTCTGTTTACCATGTCTTCACGTGCTAGTCACTTCCTAACCACATTTCCGTGAATAATTTAACTTATCTCGTTGTAGTCTCGCTAGATCTCACCAGAGCTACTGGGAACTCCTCGGATTTTATAATTTGCAGAACACCGAAAAATAAAATGTTCCGAACACATTAGTAGGGATGTGCTGAATACTATCATTTATGTAGTAAATCCAAAAAAAAAATTCCTAAAAAAAAAAAATAAAAAAAAAAAAAAAATAAAAGGATCGACCGGGATTTGAACCCGGGGCCTCTCACATGCTCATTAAGCGAGAGTCAAACACCTAAACCATAGAGGCACTTGATTTCAAACAAATTAAATGCAAACATTAGGTCACATATAATGTTTATATTCAGGTTCGATATTGTCAAAATTTTACACAATACATGGTGTCTAATTATGCCTTTACTAAACAGTTCTAATGGTTGTAATTAGAATATAAAGTCCACCGACAACCTGTATTATAAATAATAACTCTCTAGATGCCCTGTGTTAAAAATAGTGCCAAGCGACTTTTAAAACTATAAATTAAAAAAAAAAAAACGGGGCGGGACACTTTGAGAGGGGTGAGAGAGACCAAAGGGTGTTATGGTATAAAATTTCATTGCAAAAGCTCAAAAGCTTCTTGAGATATCGCCCGGAAACGAGTGTTACACACAGACGGAATTTATGAATTTACGACCTTGAACTTTGACCTTTTGACCTCAAAATCAATAAGGGTCTTCCTTAGGTCACAGGGAGTTGTTATGTAAAATTTCATAGCAAAAGCTCAAAGAATTCGCGAGATATCACGCGGAAACGAAAGTGTTAAAAGACAGAATTTGTGAATTTATGCTCAGTGAAAGCGGGGGACAATAACTATCCACATGCCACTGTGCTAAAAATTGTGCCAAGCGACTTTTAATACAATAAACTAAAAAAAAAAACGGGGCGGGGCACTTTGAGAGGGGCGAGAGAGGCCATAGGGGAGTTATGGTATAAAATTTCATTGCAAAAGCTCAAAAGCTTCTTGAGATATAGCCCGTTACACACAGACGGAATGTATGAATTTACGAGAAAGCGTTACACATAGACGGAATGTATGAATTTACGACCTTGAACTTTGACCTTTTGACCTCAAAATCAATAGGGGTTTTCCTTTGGCCACAGGAAGTTGTTAATATGCAAAACTTTATTGCGAAAGCTCAAAGGGTTCTCGAGATATCGCGCGGAAACGAAAGTGTTACAGACAGACAGAAATACAGCTAGACGGACGGACAGACAGACCCAAATTATTATCCCCCACTTTCAATGAAAGCGGGGGACAATTAGATAGATACACCATCAGTTTATACTTGTCCCAGCTGACAAAGCAGGTAACAATATTGTCTTTGTCAGGCTCATCATTTTAATTGTATTTTATAGGATCTGGGATTTAATTCTGCACGTGGTAATCCAACTTATACTCATATCATATCTCCCTTTCAAAGAAGAAAATTCTTCAAAATCATATGTCAGTTTTAAATATTTTTATTATTTCCAACAAAATGAATTTGAGTTACCATGCCTATACCGATTTCCTAAACTTCATAAAAATTCTTACAAAAAAGATACATTGCGGGTTCCAGTAAATGTTCTACCAAGCCTTTCTTATACTCCTTACTAAAATATTAACAGCAGTGAAGGAAAAACTTTTGAAGTACTGTACAACAATACTGTGAAATCACTAATTTTCGGGGGTGGGGTAATTTTCGTTGTTTTCGCGGTACGAAGTGACCCATGAATTTATGTCCACCCCGAAATGTAATTTCTCACATATATTACTACTCAGCAATTCTTCATCCAAGAAATAATCAAATCCCCACGAAATCGTATTTTGTCCTCAAACCAAGTTCCCCACATAAATATGTGATTTTACAGTATATTTGAGAAACAGACTGATTTATTGCTGAATTGATATTTATAATGTATAAATTAATTAACACATATTCGAGTGATTTTATTGTGTGCGCTATACTGTCTGTCTAGGAGTACAAAGTGCTGTTGAAGTGTTCTCTATTTTTTTTATTGCAATCTCATTACCCTAGAAGGTCTTTACAAGAGTGAGTGGTTTGCGCCGAGATGGTTCAACATATTCTAAGTTAATTCTTGAAGTTTTTGTTTATCTTTTGTTCTAAAAGGCAAAAATACAATTTTTTGTTTGTTTGTCAATATTTCATTATTATATGATCACTTCTGATAATTTTTCAATTTAAATTGTTTGTTTCTTTGTTTGTTTTTTGATTTTTTTTTTTTTTGTTTTTTTAAATTTATTAATCATTATGCAAACCCATTTACAATTTCCAACTATCCCGGGTCAGGATAGTTAGTATAACATAAATAACAGAGTAACAAATATTTATTATAGCAATTCTACAAATGACACTATCTTATTTTTAAACATAGGAGTTTTCGTTAACTTCATTAATAAGTCCATATTTTTTTAATATTATTTTTTACATAAGAGAGTAACATATCATTTGTTTCAGTTTTGTTCCGACATCTACAAAACATTTTAAATTTATATATCTTATACGCTAGGAAAGACACAAAGGTATTCAAAAATTGTATTTTGGAATTCTTTTCAGAATAAAACCCTAATATGACATGTTTCCACTGTATATCAAAATTTAACACAGAACTCAGATTTTTCCATAGTATTTGAACATGTGCACAATCAAAAAGTAAATGTCTAATATCTTCAATTTCATCACACATATTACAAAAAGCAGATGTTTTGTATTTGCATTTAAAAAGAAAACTGTTACAACATAATGTATTATTTAACAGTTTGTAATTAAATTCACATATTCTTTTGTCATAAATGTCTTTTACTTTGTTTCTATATATAAATTTCCAACTCTCTTTAGCAACAGAAAATATTTTTTTAAACATTAATTGATGACTTGGAGCTTTAAATTTCTTAAAGAGTAGATTATCGTAGAAAAATTTACATTTCTTA